TAAAATGACTCAGTGACTTGCAGTGACCCTTTGGTTCCAAAGTGTAATTCCTATTATACTTTGCATCACCCTGCAGAGTGCCAAACTATCCTAATCTCTGTATTTTCTAGAAGTTGGAGTTGGTGGCTCCTAGGCACTAAGTTGTCATCTTTGCTGTTAGTGCCAGTGAACACGATACAAATGACATTCAATGTAACCATCATTAAAAACTTGACAGTAGAGAAATTCTGATAGGGTCATAGAATACTATATTTGATGGACTTTAGTGATCATCTGACCCCCTTTTTTACGCTCAGATGAGAAAACTAAGGCTCTAAGAACTGATGTAACTTCTTTAGGGACTACAAAAGTAACCTAGAGTAAAAGGCAAGAGTTAAACATTATTGCAGAATTAAAACAAAGTGGTTTGGTAATACAGAGGCAGAGGAGACATGTTTTGGCTGGAGGGCCTGAGGAAGACCTGATGGAGAATAACATTTGACTCAGCGTTGAAGGAAGACTGGGATCTCGACTAATAGAGGCTGGGGAGACAACAGTGGATGGCATGAAGCAAGCCCACTGCAGCAGTCTTTTTAGAATACAGTCATGCTTTGCATAACGATGTTTCAGTCAATGACAGATGGCATATACGACGGTGGTCCCATAAGATTCATACCATACAGCCTAGGTATGTAGTAGGCTATCCCATCTAGGTTTGTGTAACGACACTCTATGATGTTCACACAATGACCAAGTCACCTAATGATGGATTTCTTAAAGCGTATTCCTGTCATTAAGTGACTCATGACTTGTGGTGGGGCAGTGGTTTGGCTGGAGAGCAGGTGTGGGGGCATAGAAGTGGGAGGTAAGGCAGGGAAGGTAGGTTACAGCCAGTGTGGAGGGTCTTGAACGACAAAGGAAGTGATGAGGAGCCACTGAACGTTTCTGAGAAAAGGAGTAAAGAGTCAGGCAGAAAGGAAGACCCCACAGTACCTCTCTGTTGATGCTTTCACAAACACCTTTCTAGTCTGGGATGCTAGGGAACTGAGAGTTTTGGGGGAAGGGGAGTCACACCTGTGTCTTAGAGTTGGCTGTGGAATCAACAGATGACTGACTAGTAAACTGATTTAAAAACCATAATTCAATTAATTTAAAAATACAAAAATGATGTTATGAACCTGTGGTAGCCGTGAGAATGTGCTTCACGGGTCTCTAACTACAGGGAACATAATTGACCAAGGGCTTTAGTGTGGCACCTGAGATATATTGCTGTGCTTGTGATAAGGGTCGTTTGCCCATGAGCTGCTCTCAGCAGTGACTGAGTATGGCGGAGAAACTGAAGCAGATCACTCATGGGAGAGTTAAGTCTTTTCTTTTTTTTTAATTTTTATTTATTTATTTTTCCCCCCAAAGCCCCAGTAGATAGTTGTATGTCACAGCTGCACATCCTTCTAGTTGCTGTATGTGGGACGCGGCCTCAGCATGGCCGGAGAAGCGGTGCGTCAGTGCGCGCCCGGGATCCGAACCCGGGCTGCCAGCAGCAGAGCGCGCGCACTTAACCGCTAAGCCACGGGGCCGGCCCTTAAGTCTTTTCTGGTGGCTTGAGGACTCCCCAGTGGCTCTACTGAGTCTTCCTTAGACTGCACAGCAGTCTAGGATGTTTCTACCCAATCCTTCTCCCCTCTCTCCTTCACTCAGGGTCACACTTGCTTTGCTGTCTGCTGACTCTTCCAACCTTCTCCTGCACTCTCCCTATTCTCCCTCATACGGGCATTTTTCTTAACAAAACCCTTGCACGTTTAATCTCATTTTGGCGTCTAGCCTGGATTAAGTAGACTCTAATCTCCAAAGCCTCTTATTTAGCCTCATTGATCCATGATCTGGTCATAAGGCAGACTGGATGAGAAAGTGAGTTATGTTCTGTGTAAACACGCTCTGCCTCCTGGGGAACAGCCACACGCATTGCACTGGGGGTTGCAGGTCAATAGCAGCATTTTCCAGGATGAAAGATCTGGAAGAATCTTCCTTTGCCATCCTCGTTATAATGTAAATGCTGGACTATTTCTAGGTTAAGATTTTAAAATCTTTATAATTTGAAAATTTGTTACATATCATGGCCCAAGAGTTTTATTTTTAAAATATCTTTATTTTTCTGTAAAGAACAAATGTGACATTTTGGGTCTTGGTACGGAAAATCAAGGAGCTATCATATAGAGGAGAGTTAAAATGAAAGGTTAGTAAAGGGGCACATCACAGGGAGAGATTTTGGAGGAGGGTGGTGACCAGCCAACATCCTCTCCAGGAGAAGCACAGGAATTGTAGACTGCAGCAAGGAGCACCAAGGCAGAACCTAAGGTGGAATTTGGCCCTGAGGAGTGGAAAGACTCATGGATTAATCTCTGAAAGCAGCTTTTTTAGAGAGACGTCAAACCAATGGTTCCTAAATTTAGTGTGCACAAGAATCTTCTAGGGAGCTTATCAAGACTGGAGATGCTGATTCAGCAGGTCTGAATTATTATTACATTTATATTCAGGAAACTGCCCTTCTCTAAGCTCCTTGAGATTTTCTGATCTAGATCGTCTGGATTATAGCTTGGAACAATCTATCCCAGCTGGTTTGTCTGGGACAGTTTCCCATTTCAGAATGTGTGGAGGCAGAAGAATAGACTTGAGTGAGTCTTCCTTAGTCATTCTCAGACTCTGGAAATGAACTATTTATGCTTTTAAAAAGATACTAGAATGTTTGGAAAGATTTCAAGAGATCATCCTTTTTCTAAAATTTTCAAGGATATAAATTTAGTAATAATTTTGTCCTAATGGAGCTATTTTTTCCTATTGATTCAGTGTCAACCCGCCAATTGTTTCTCAATCTGTTCCATTGTAGAAGTAGGATAATAACCACAGTTACTTCACTGGGTAGTGGTAATGATGAATGAGGCAAGTTATGAAAAATAATCAGGATGATGCTTTGCACATTACAAAGCAGGGATTGGCAAACTTTTTCTGTAAAGGGCCAGAGAGTAAATATTTTAGGCTTTGTGAGCCATGCTGTTTCGGTGGCAGCTACTCAGCTCTGCCGTTGTAGAGTTAAAAGGAGCCATAGACGATAAGTGAATAGGTGTGGCTGTGTTCCAACAAAACTTTATTTACAGAAATAGGTAGTGGGCAGGATTCGATCCACAGACGGTATTTTGCCTGCTCTTGCTATAAAGGCTTGATAAATTCTATTATTATTATTATTATTAATATAATGGCTTGTAAATAATCCTTAAAAATTAGCAAAGTAATCAGTTTTTAGTCAAGAACTAAGTATATATACATTTGCAATTTTTTTCAAAGGAATCTGCTTATAAGAGAAATAAAAAGAAAATCTTGCGTTTAAATACTGGTGTCATTTTAATGGGCTTTAAAGAAAATGTTTCTGCTGACAGAGATTGCCATCACATTGTTCTTGGCCCTTGAGGGAGAAATCCAGGCCAAAGTGAAAAAAAAAGTCCACAAAGACTATGGAGGAATAAAGGAGAAATTTGCCTAAATCTTTAATCTCTGACCTCTTCCCCCTCTTTGAAGTCCTTGGTCTGGGGTTATGGCATAGTTTCTCTCCCCAAACAGAGTTTGTTGAAACAATGGCTGTAGTGAATGTTTCATAACCAGATGTTTATCTATTATGTTGCTCAATGTCTACTGACATTGAATTGCTTGTGCTGCTTTTAGGTTTCAGTTCTAAGAAAATGTTTGCCTTTCCTAACAAACCAGTGTGCTTCCTTTTATTTATTTTAGATGACAAAGATTACATATTGTTTTGCTTTTTGACCGGGTTATCTGTAAGGGTAGAGATAAACGCAAGGCTCAATCATTATGATGCTTTCCATCTACTTGGGAGAAGTACTTTTCCTCCACGATGCTTATTTTTTTTAAATGTCAATGATTATCTTAAATGTTGTCGTATAGGTGTCTTTCATTGTAAATTCCTTCAAATGCTTTTTAGATCTAGCTAAAATATAAACCAAATATTATAAATAAAACAAATCAGATCATATTTGCAAGAAGTGTTGTTTTCTATGTAAAGTTCCTCCAAAAGTAACATATATAAGATTATAAAGAAAATAAACTGTTAATAAGTACTTGATCAATAATGGAAGGTTTTGTAAATAAATATATTACGGGGCAAGGCTATGATCTTCAATTGTAGAGTCAAGCAAAGCTGGGTTCCAATCCCAGTTCCATCATAAGACCAGCTATGTGGTCTTGGGTGTATTACTCAATTTGCTCTGAGTCTCAGTTTCATCATCTGTAAAATGGGCCTAATGGCTGCATCCATCTCACAGAATTGTTGTGAGAATTAAATGAAATAATACATATAATGTGCATGGGGCACAATGTCTGGTCTATGACAAGTGCTAAATATATCTATATATAGCTATTATGACGTTTATTTTTATTTTTATAGCAGTATTTCCATTAAAATATAAGAAATGTGGCTATTTGCTTAGCTTTCAACATGAGGCCCTAAAAGTCTGTTTGAGCATTGCTGTTGTTTTCTAAGTCCATCTTCTCACTTTTTCCCCAGTATTTTTGTGTGATTCCCCACTAAGCAAATGGATCATGATGTAACATCTGAGAACTTTGTTACCAAATAGAGTCCAGATAGGAAGACTATTGAGAACATTAAACAGGAGTTTAAACATTTACCCACAATTTAAATTTTCCAGTGATTTAAACCATGGGGCCTGCTTTTCACTCTGTGTAATTAGAGTATTTTTCCACACAACTCTCCTATATCACGCCTGGCAGCACTATTTAGCCAGTGTTATTTTATTGTTTTTTTTTTTTTTTGGAGAGTCTGGTGAACTTGAGGGAAGGGTGGAATGGCAAAGAAATTTCATGCCACAATTTTAGTTTTATACATAGACCTAATTCTGCTAATTCTCCAGTTACCTCTCTCTTACTCTGTTCCTCTTAACTCTAAAATTTAGAATATAGATTTAATATTTTTTCTTTCAGTCTTCTTTTTCCTTTAAGATGTACTGACTGACATTACCGCCAAAGGCACATTAATGCTGACAGATTAGAACCACTGAAGTTGGGAGAAAATGGCCACCACAACAGCAAGAAGTCCCAAGATTTTCAACAGGAAGGAAACTGGGAAATTAGCTGACTCTTGTAGAGCCCGCGTCTTCAAAGGCTTCAATATCCTTTGTTTCTGAGTGAGGATGGCATGCCTGGCTCCTTCCCATTGCCCAGGTCCAACCAGGCGATACTGGTAGGAGTTGCAGGGTCCAAAATAGAGTTTCACAGCAAGTTTAGGATCTTTTAACAAGAAAGAGAGGAAGTGTGGCTTCACTCCTATCTCTGAGGCGAGCTCGTCCAAGTACTCAATGTAATTGGTCTGCAATATCTGGCTTTGGCTCTTTCCAAACCTTAATGAGGAAAGCAAAAAGGCAGATTCACAAAATGTTCTAAGTTATATAAGAACATTAGGTATTCAATAGTTGTTGAAAGAATGAAGGAATGAGTGAATGAATAATGAGTTTTGAATTGATCTCTGGTGGAAAGTGTCACTTTATCCCATCACGAGGCCCATATCCCGGATTGAGAGTAAGCTGTAAAATAAATAGCCAGGAATTCATAAAAGTTCCAGGAATGACAAGATTTATAACTAGAATTATTATTTAATATTTACTAAGCAGCTTCAAGTCTCCAGGCAAGTACAAACTGGTCAGGATTACTGCAGATTCACAAGATAACACCGATGAAAGCCTAGCTCAGTGTCTTGCACAGAGGGGATGCTTAATATTTGCTTGTTCAATTATCAAGTACCTGGCACTCTAGGTGGCATATGGCAGATAATCAATAGATGGTAGACGAATTACAATCTGAACATGAGATAACATCTACCTGTGATGTAAGGCCCCCAATTCAACTTTCCAAGGGTGCTTAATCACTATTGAACCCCATTCCACCTCATCACAAAGTACAAATCCTTGAACCTTCACTTCAACCAACCTCTTTCTAATTTACTTTGATGGGAGATCCCTCAGCCAACTTTCCAGAGATACTCAGGCTACTGTCACCACCATTGCCCCCATCTCATTCTCTCTCTAACCATAGTTTGTAGGGGGTCTGAGAAGATATGGAATCTAACATGGGCATCATGCAAAACTGAAATGAAATTAAGTCAAGGAAAAATGTTCTGATTGGGTAAAATTCCTACCTTTAAGTAGTTGGTTTTTAACTAGTATGTGTAAGAATCACCTAGGAAGAACGTAAAAATACAAATATCCAGTTTCATCCAGAGATTCTGATTCAGTAGGTCTGGGTTGTGGCCTAGGAACTTGCATTTTTAACAAGCAGCTAGGTGGTTCTTGTAGGTAGTTAAATCACTATACTTTGAGAAACACTGCTTTAAGTAAAGAATTTTTGTTTAAAAAACATTCTTACAGGTCAATTCTTTTTTCATTCCTCTTGATAATGTCCTCCATCATTGTCCTCTCTGAGGGCAAGGTACACAAGCCTAGAAAATAAAAGACTGGTTTGAGTAGAGGGTTTGATTCAATATCATTGTTTTATCTAGTAGTTGATTCCTACAATTAAACATGGGCCATTTACCATGTTTGGGTGGCTGTGTCGTTGAACTCCAGGGAGCACCACTCCTGTTGAGTTCTATGTGATGCTGCCCTTGGAGCACAGGCTACAGCATGGCCTCTGAGGTACGAGAAGGGGCTGGAGAGGGAATAAGAGACTGCGGAGCCAGGAAACCAGGCCAGGTGGTTTGAGCTCTATTCTGAAGGTGATGGGAAGCTGTGGGAGGGTTTTCTTTAGGAAGTGACAAGATCAGATTTGTCTTTTGGAAAGATCCCTCTAGCTGCTGAATTTTGGAAAATGGGCTGCAGGGAGGTGAGTTTAAAGGCAGCAAGACCAGTTAAAGGGGTGGTGAAGTAAACTTAGTGAGAGAGAGAATGGCCCAAACTAAGGGAGGGCAGTGGGGATGGAGAAAGTAGATTGATGCAAGAGTTATCATTGTGTGCTTATGATCCCATCTCCTGTCCACAAATGTCCCCTGAGCTTCAGACATGTTGAAAAATGGTCAGTTCCCCCTGGAGATGGCTAGTCATCAGATATCTCAGATTCACTGAGTGCAAAACTGAGCTCATCATTGAAGCCCTCCTGCTCAGACTTGGATCTTCTTCCACATGCCCCCTCTCTATTTATAGCACCTGTCCATCCAGTTTCCATGGCCAGAGATCTGCAAGTCATCCTTGATTCCTTTCTCTTATTTTCCTATACTGAGCCAATCATTATGTCCTGCTGATTTTATCCTTAACTATTTCTCACATTTATATCCTCTTCTCCACTTTGTCTCTGCCTGGCACAGGTTGCATCATATTTTAGTACAGACTATTGCAGTAGCCTTCTCACTGGTCTCTGAGACCCCATTCTTTTCTCCTTTCAAATCTATCTCCCAGCTAATGCTGAAATAATCTATTGAAAATGTAAATGTGGGGGCTGGCCTGGTGGTGTAGTGGTTGAGTTCGCACACTCTGCTTCGGTGGCCTGGGGTTCCAGGGTTTGGATCCCAGGTGCAGACCTACACACAGCTCATCAAGCCATCCTGTGGTGGCGTCCTATACACAAAATAGAGGAAGATTGGCACAGATGTTAGCTCAGGGACAATCTCCTAACAACAACAAAAAAACCCCAAAAAATGTAAATCTGATAATATCTGTTCCTTGCTATAACTTTCATTGGATCCTCTTCCTAAAGAGCTTTCTAAAATGGAGATCGTAGGTCCACAGGCCAATCTTAATCAGGATCCTTAAGGGTCCACCAGCGGATTTTTATGTGTAGCCACATTTGGGAAGAGCTAATCTACATTTTATATTCAAGCTCCTTGGCATGCCTGAATTGACATGAGTGAATCCATGATGGCTACTCTGTGACCCTCAGAAACCATCTGCACTGAAAAAATACAAAGAAGTTGCTTGTGATGGGAACTGGCCCTTCTCCCACAATACAAACTGCAATTGTTTATGTCTCAAGACTCTAGGAACGTCGGGAGCTGGCACAGACTGGCCATCTGTGTTGGCTCTGGACGATTAGCGGGAGTCACGGTGCACGTACACACTAGATAACACCTAACATCTAAAGAAAAGACACACCAGATGTTCTCATATGGGCCTTCGATGAAATCCTAAATAAAAAACCTTGCTTAGCATTGCCCGGGCGGGAGTCTCACCTGCGGAGGGGACGGCTTGCCCAGGATCCTTTCTCTCAACTGGCACTCCCCGCCTGACCATGCTGTTGGGACTTCCCTGGCTAAAGGCGTGGATGTTGTGAGTACCTGGTTTGATGTTACTTTCATTTTGCCATTCTTGTATTCTCGTATTTTTCTGATTTTCTTTCGCTGTAGCTGCTTCAGCCTAATTTTGTATATCTCTATTAATAAACAATCACTGCTTACTTATTAGATATTTGCTCTGAGTGGTTCTTTGGGCAGGAAAGATGCTATTCTTTGACCGATCCGACCCCTTTTCCCCGGTTAAAACAACGCCTTACAAGTTTCCTGTGTCCTGGCCCCTTCTTCTCTAAGAATAATCTCTCACTCCTCTCTGCCACACACCTCATGTTCTAGGAATGGCAAATAGCTTGTAATTCTCCTCATGCCTCTGTGTTCTGGCTCAAGTGATTCCCTTTTCTGCACCTGAGAAACTCAGTCGCTAGGAAGTTTTCCTTGACCATGTGCCCTCCCTTTATCCCCCTCTGCTGTTGCTAAGCATCCTTTCTCTTCATCCCACGCACTCCATAATTGCTCTACTAAAGCATCTGTCTTATGTTAAAATAATCTGTTAAAATTTCTTTCTATCCCACCAGGTTCCAGCACAGGGCTAGATATTCAGTGAGCTTTTGTTGAGCTGAATTGAACCCTGTGGTCAGAGAGATAATAGCCCTCTGGAGTGCAAAGTGCTGCACAGATGCTCAGATAGAAACCTTCAATAGTTTTACAACTTTGTAGGGATCTGTGAGGTTGAACTGCTTAGGTATTGAGAGTTGATTTGGAGTTAAGTATGGAGTAGGCCCTAGGTCTCTTGATTTGCACATATTCTGAGGAATGTATAAACATCATATAGGTAAAGCCAGGAGTCATAGATGTTTTCCTTCTTAACTGTTCTCTCATGATTCAAAGAAAGAATAACATGTACTTAACTTTATGCCAATCACAATTCTCTGAACTTTCTAATATTTCAAAGGAATGATTGGAGATATTTATTATTATTGTATCTTTGTATTTGTTATTTTGTGAATTCTCCACTAACTTTTTAGGCCATTAATCTTGTGAGAGCAGCCAAGATTGGCAACCTTCCTGTCTGCAACTTTCTTATTTAAACTCGTTATTGAGCAAACTCCACCAGGTGTGAAAACCCTCAGCCACTCACTTGCCCACTCACTCACCTTTGAAAACTCTTGTCACCCAACGAGCTTGAAGTTCAACTGTTGGGAAAATGGAACCCAAGGGCTGGATGAGACCAATGCATGCAAAGGTTGACTTCTCCAGGTGAGGAGGGAACACGCATTTATACAGTGAGACCATATTTTCCTCTACTTTAACAAATGACTCTTCAAGGAAGGGAAAAGAGAAAGTATATCCCGTTGCAAAGACAATGATATCAATGTTCTCCTCCACTGTTCCATCCTCAAAGATGGCAGAAGTTTCTGTGAGCTCTTTCACTCTGGATTTCACCTTGATGGCTCCATAGAGTATACGACTTGGAAGGTCATCATTTACTACAGGTTCTTTCATAAGGTATCTGAAACACACAGAGGAAAACACTCAGAAGGAGCTTTTTTTTTCGCTAAGAAAGATTAGCCCTGAGCTAACATATTTTGCCAATGGTCCTCATTTTTTGCTTGAGGAAGATTAGCCTTGAGCTAGCATCTGTGCCAATCTTCCTCTACTTTATATGTGGGTCACCGCCACCGTGTGGCTGATGAGTAGTGTAGGTCTGCACCTGGATCTGGGCCTGTGAACCCAGGCCACCAAATTGGAACACACTGAACTTAACCACTATGTTACAGGGCTGGCCCCCAGAAGGAGCTTTTCATGAGGAGTCTTGAACTCTCTTGAGATTTTATGGGGTTGGCTCCTAGAATAAAGAGATTTCTTAAATATCCACAAAACTTTCCAACTTGACTAGTTGGTCTGCCCCAAATCTTAGTATCTGACTTTATTCTCATGTCACAAATCTCTCCCCTCAACAAATAAGGGAAAACATGTAGGTGATGTGGGTAAAGACAGTTCAAAAAAGGAGGCATCCCCAAGGGCTTAGACAAAATGCCAGTGCCTACGGTCAATCCCTGAGTATTCCAGCGATGTTTCTACCATTGTTTTATGTTATCTACCTTTAATTATCTTTCTGTTCTATTTAATCTCTATCTGGTCATGAGTAAGAAAGGGAAAATTTGTTGAATTCCCATTAGTTTTGAAACTTATTAAAGGATCAGTGTGAAAATTCACGTATAAAATTAAATTTGGGGATGTTTGTTGATTGCAAATATCCAAGAAGTCTCTGTATGTGATAGCATGGGCGATGGAGCAAAGTCTGTTTGTATTTCTGGAATTCCTTTTTTTGTAGATCTGAGAACCATTTTTCAAAAAAATAAGACAGCACATGCCACATGTATCAGATGTCAGAATATGGCAGTCCCATGGCATTTGTTGAAAGATTCTAAAGCTCTTTTGTTCTTCTTCTTTTTTTTTTTTTAAATTGAAGGAGCCTATTATCAACTGAAGAAAAATAAACATCCATAGTATTTGCTTGTGTTTATAAGGTCAGTGATGTATAACTTTGAGATCAACAGAGATTTGTTTTTTGGCAAAGACAACGAGTATGTTCTCAAAAGCTGCCCATGGGAAGAATCCTCGTGGTGTACAGAGTTAGCAAAGTATGAATTATCAGATGCAGAATTTGGGACATGTTTCCTACACCCCTCTGAAAGGAAAGTCACAATCTCTTCAAGTAGCCTTTTCCAATGTGGGACAGCTTGGGTATTAAAAAGTTCTTCTTGTGATCCTAGGTCTGTTTTCTAGGGCAGCTTATAACATTTCTACTTCATCTCTTGAATATTCACTTTTTTAAAAAAAATTTTATTTATTTATTTATTGTCCCCCCAAAGCCCCAGAGGATAGTTGTATGTCATAGCTGCACATCCTTCTAGTTGCTGTATGTGGGACTCGGCCTCAGCATGGCCGGAGAAGCGGTACGTCGGTGTGCGCTCGGGATCCGAACCTGGGGCCGCCAGCAGCGGAGCACGCGCACTTAACCGCTAAGCCACGGGGCCGGCCCTGAATATTCACTTTTTAAAAGACATACAGAACAAAATTGGAATTCAAACTCCAGGACCTACATGATACCTACACCGTTAGGTTGTGGTTTGAAATACTATGTTAGCAATTTGGCTCTTTGTGGAAAGAGGCACCTCTGACAACTTTGCTTACCAATGAGTATACCATAAAAAAGAAAAATAACTCTACTTGTTTTGAGGTTCAAGACCATAATTTTCGTGGTTGAACCACCGATTCATCTGTTGGTCCATCATCTGTTTTACAATTGTTCGTGGCAAAACGTTTCGGAGCATGGAGCTAAATCGGGTGTGAAAGATCACGTCCCAGGGATAACCATCTTCAGAGATACGACCCATGACCCAGGAACCATGTCTGGTGCTGATAAACACCTGGTAAGCAAAAAGGAATGCAGTTTAAACCAGGGCATCTTCTCTTTCGAAATGAACCTGCTATCTAGGTGATATGTCACATGTATGGCCCCAAAATTTGCTGACATGCTTTGTTTTAAATATGATGGACCTCACAGTGAAGTCCTTCTCATTTTCACTGCTCTGTGGCAGCTTTATCATAAAAGGGGTACCAGGTGGTATTTACACTGAGAGAGAAAGACTACAACAGTCTTGAGAACATCATAGAGACAAGAGAAAATCTTTGGGCTAATACCAATCATAAAATCCACAAGTCTTCACCAGGTTTACAGTCGTCGTTCGATGCTTTTTCCCTCTTCTCACCTTTCCACCCACCCCAAGTCTCTTTCATAGTGAAGGTGAACAATTATAATCTCAGGAAAGGTATGATTACAGCCTAATTACTAGATAGGCACAAATGTACAGATCTGTATATCCCCAGGGGAGAATAACAAGGGAAACCAGCTTCCTCCCACCCTTAAAAGAGATTCGTTATGTATTTTAAAAGTTAAAAACTCTGGAGGGGAGTCAAGATGGCGGCGTAGGCAGACTCTGAACTCACCTCCTCCCGTGGACACAGCTAATTTACAACTACTCGTGGAAAAATTACCCCTGAGACAGAACTGAAAACTGGATAAGAGGAACTCCTGCAACAACGGACCATCCTAACTGAGGTGGAA